TCGCAGGCCATAAACGGGGCACGAGATTGAATGGTCTAAAACTTGTCGTTTTGCTGATTATTGGTTTTAATGAGGATATCTTGCCCTAATGATGTTCGTCATATGACGATTAAAGCTTAGCACCTTTCCCTCGAAATCGAAGGAGATTACCTCAGAAACCAGTTCCCTTTTGATATCAAAAGAATTAATTTCATATACTGTACTTTTATTTTTTTTACTAATCATAACTATTTGCGATATTATATACTCTTCTTTGTAGATTGCCTTAGGTACTGTCTCCAATATTGTTGAGGCATTGACCTGGCTTAGTTACACCTATCTATTCATTCGCATTCGTCAGAACCCACACAACTACGGAATCACTCCAGAGGAATCCTCTGTAAGCTAACTTCCTTACTGTATATGACTACCTCTTTACCTACTTAAAGTAAAAATTTTATCCCTTCTCTATTTTTTTAAGCATATCTATTCTATGTATCATCATTTAAGTTTTATTCCTCTATAATCTCACTAATACACTTCCCATTTTCGTTTTGCCTATTAGGCTGGCTCTATCTTTGGGTAGCCTTTTTTCATTTACCTAGGTAGCCTATATATAACCTTCATTTTACCGAATGCATTTTCTACCTGATAGCTAATCCAGTCAAATTCTATCTTGGATGGCTATGAGGCGTCACTTCTTTCTATAGATAAAAGACAAAGTCTTAGTGTCAGTCGTCATTTGGGTGTTATGTTCAGAATTACACAAATTTATTAATAAAGTTTATTCTCAGTCTAATCCCCTCATGTAATGCATAAGTGATATGACCTAATCTTTAAGGCTATGGTTAGTAGCCAGGACCAAAGGAAGCTCCTTGAACCTCCATCAGCATAGCGACCTTCTGTGGGCACCTCAGTTTAGTTATTGTTAAAGGTAGGACATTATACTCAAATTCATTTTTTTAATTTAATCTTATTTTTATTTTCTTCTATATTGGTTTTTCTTTTCATACTATCAAAGCTGCAAATATTAATGTCCTAGGGGATGCATAATATCAATTTAACACTTTGCTCATCTCTCCTCGCTGCTTTTTGTTTACCACCAGATTTCAAAAATAATTGTTGAGTCGATCAAAATATTCTAACAAAAATTCCTCTGCTGTTTGCTTATTTCCATTTTAGAAACTTTGACGTGTTTACATTATTCTTGTTTTTCTTAATGGATTAATTTCTCTTATATGGCCATTAATGTCATATTTTTATCATTATGTTATATTTATTATTTCTCATATAATATTCCACTACATTTATATTCTGTCATTGCAGCGTGATCCCGATCTGTCAGATTTCCTGTCTAGAGTAGTTCACTCCACGGCTACAGATTTAGATGCCGCTGAGATGGTACGATACGAGCCCACCTTAGGTCATCTGGCTCCCACTGACCGAGGTCGTACAGCCAGTCTTTACTATATCCGGTTCTCCACAGCTACCATGGTTCGAGAACAGCTCAATCCGGTCATGATGCCACAAGACTTATTCGCTCTGATCTCAAAGGCCAGCGAGTTCGCCGCTATGAAGGTCCATTTTAACCCTCTTTTTATTTGTTTATCTCGCGGTTGCTTCTCTTTTCTATGTTTATTTTATTATCAGTGTTCATGTTAAATTCTTTCTACATCCATGCCAATAAATTATAATTGTTTTAGTGATCAGTTTATTTATTCTATCGCTCCTTCAATTTGCCTATCAACATATTTAATCTAGCCTCGAATCCTAGGCGTTCAGTGATATTTTTATTATCTATAAAAGTTTTTTATTAACGTGATTGATGTAACTGAGTTCTAATTTTATAGGATTTTACCGTTTTCTGGGTGTGCAAATGAGCTGGTTTAGAAACATTTAGCTAACCTTTC